GGCGCGGGCCACAAAATATTGCACTGAGGGCCGCAAATGGCCCGCGGGCCGCGAGTTTGAGACCCCTGGTGTATAATGACAGTGGTATAGCATGTACTGCAAGGAGAAGATTAATTATGAGGACGGTGCTGATGTGTGTGTGTGTGTTTTGTGATTTATCAGGACACAATTGTGTATAATGACATGGGTAATACAGGCGTTACTAGAGATTGAGACCTATAATAATAATAAATTATGTTTGTAATGCGCTTTTCTTATACTCAAAGCGCTACAGGCAAAACAATAAAACACAATGCAAGCAAAACAGCACAACAATAAAGGACATGCTGGTGTGTGTGTGTGTGTGTGTGTGTGTGTGTGTGTTTTGTGATGTATTAGGACACAATTGTGTATAATGACACTGGTATGACAGGTATTGCAAGGAGAAGATGATTTATGAGGACATTCCTGATGTTTGTGTGTGTGTGTGTTTTGTGACGTATCAGGACACAAATGTATATAATGGCATGGGTATAACAGGCATTACAGGGGATTGTGAATTATGAGGACATGGCTGATGTGTGTGTGTGTTTTGACGTATCAGGACACAAATGTGTTTAATGACACTGGTATGACAGGTATTACAAGAAGGTGGTGATTTATGAGGACATTGCTGATATTCCTGTTTTAATTAGTGTGTATAAATCATACAAAAACTGTTTTTGCAGAAAGTAAAATTGCACACAGTTTCCTGTTAGGGCTAGGGTTAGGTGTAGAGTTAAGGAAATTACAATTGGTACAGTATTAAAAAAAACATTAAAACTTATGGAGAGTCCCCACAAATCACAAAAACAATTCTGTGTGTGTGTTGATGCAGCTGCTCTGCGCTGTATAAAGGCTAGTTGTGTTGGCGTGAATGGATCGGTCCTCTTTATCCTCCCGTCACGAGCTGTGCTTCTCTCTGCGGATGCCACACACACACACACACACACACACACACACACACACACACGCGCGCGCACACACATTTAAAGCTTTCTGACATCTCTGCCTCTTTCTCAGATCAGTGGGAGGTTGAGGCGTGATACTGAGGGACTGCGGGACACATTGAGCTCAGTGTTCAGACTGTCAGATGACTGTAAACACACACACAAACACACACACACACACACACACACAGGCAGGCTTCACAAAGGCTGAGCGCAGCGCCGAACGAGTGCTTATGTAATCTCATCTCTTCTGCTTTTTTATTCTCCATCTCTTCTGCTTTTCTGCGTCTTCTGTCAGTAATGCTGTTCAAGGTTTTTCCAGCGTTTAGTTTTTACTTTCTCTAAAGTTACATAAAGACTGCAGATTCAAATAACATCTCATTTATACAGCATTTCAATATAGGAGTAGGGGGCATGTGAACATGTGCACTACTCTATGGGTTAGTAATATATATATATATAAAACTCTTATAAATGAAGAGTTCAGATGCAGAAAAATGTATTTTCTTCTAAAATGAACATTTTCATCAAATTTCTGTGTGTAGGTTCAGTAATTCCACTTTTATGGCAAAGAATATGTCCTTTTCATGGTCTTCAAAGTGAAATAACTCAACACTAACCAAGGAGGCTAACAATAATGCTCATTTTCGGTGGAAATTTCTGATGGCACTTAAAGGTTTTTGCATCTAAACTCTTCATATATTCTTATTAAGGAGGCTTTAAATTACCTTAGTACACGGCAGTCTGGAATAATGGATTCTCGCAACAATTCAAGGTCTGTTTTTCCCAGATAACAACCGCTAAATAACACAGACTCATCTGAGAACTGAGAATCACCTTCAGTGAATACGTTCACATCCATATACTTATATCCAGCGTTGGGGAAAGCATTTGTGAAAGTAATGCATTACAATATTGAGTTACTCCCCCAAAAAGTAACTAATTGCATTACTTAGTTACGTTTTATGATGTTATTTTACATTATTATATATATATATATATATATATATATATATATATATATATATATATATATATATATATATATACGTTATTATGTATATACGGTATATACGTATATATATGTATATACTGTATATACGTTATTTTACTTTTGAGTTACTTTTGCGTTACTTTTCTTCACCTGTGAGGTTTGATCTCTTTTAGCAGGTGTTTTTTTCACCTTTTTAATAGAGAAGCTCTGCATTTAACAGACACCTATATAATCTACACCTTAATTTTCCTTAAAAAAAGTAGGATAAAATTACATTTTGAGAACTTTCTGAGCCCAGAGCTATATTTGCTGGATATACAGATTAATGACAGCATGTAAATTAATGTGTTTGCTACTTTTGAATGTTTTGTGTTATCAGCATCCCGATCCGGCACCTCTGAAATCTGATCCGGCACCTAATTTTACCGATCCCCCTCTTCAATCGCCCTTTTCCCTCGTCTGCTGTTCACCCTTAATCCTCTTCACTGTTGTCTGCGACACCCCAGCCCTGCTCACCAATCGTCCGCGACACTCCTCCACCAACCACCGCACTAACACCCAACACGCCCCCTCCCCAAAGCTCCCCACTTTCATGCACGACACCTCTCCATCCTCGGGTTTTGGTTTCTGACAGCTTTGTTTTTGACTGTTTGTCTCCATCTTGTGTCTGAATAATGCTCAGGTTAGTGTATACTCCATCAGCTGTTTTAGTTTCTGTCAGCTTTGTGTTTTTGACTGTTTGTCTCTATCTATTGTCTGAATAATGCGCAGGTTAGTGTATACTCCATCAGCTGTTTTAGTGTCTGTCAGCTTTGTGTTTTTGACTGTTTGTCTTCATCTTGTGTCTGAATAATGCGCAGGTTAGTGTATACTCCATCAGCTGTTTTAGTTTCTGTCAGCTTTGTGTTTTTGACTGTTTGTCTCCATCTTGTGTCTGAATAATGCGCAGGTTAGTGTATACTCCATCAGCTGTTTTAGTGTCTGTCAGCTTTGTGTTTTTAACTGTTTGTCTCCATATTGTGTCAGAATAGTGCTCAGGTTAGTGTATACTCCATCAGCTGTTTTAGTGTCTGTCAGCTCTGCGTTTAAGGAATTAGTAAACTATAAACAATGTTTTGTGTCAAATTTTTACAATTTGTGGCAAGTACCTTTGTAGTAAGGAGGACAGGACATCCAGGATGGTTGTTTTTTTTTTTTATAAACCCTTCAGTCCTATACAGTTCTCCATTTTACGTCGGGCTGTCCATAAAACTGTCAGGCTCAATTCTGTGATACCAATCTCCTGTGTGTACTTTATCCCTAACTCAAAGAAAGAAATTTTTTTGGAAATAGGCTGATTTTACAGCTTTCTCATGGTACATTCACACCAGCTGCGGATAAAGCATCAAGTGTGAGTGATTTACATAGTAGGTCATTGCAAAGACGCAAACAGACATCCTGCAGTGCGATTGAACACTATGTGTGTTTGATGCGCAACTTGAGCTGACATTTACTCCACTTTAACCAATCAGGAGCTTGCTCTAGTATCGGTGTGATTAAGTTGGTGTCCCAAGGAGAAATCCTCATGCCAACACTGGACAACAGCTCATCAAACTGGGCCAGGCTCAATCTAAAGCACAGCTGAAAACTTCCATCATCTAGTTCAGTTTCTAGAGGAGTTAAACTCACAGAGCTTGTTGCACCTCTGAAAGGATTTAGTGGACTCAGACATGGCGGCGAACCAATCTACGCTTTTTTCAGCTTTCCTAAAGCACAGCTAGTCTCTCAATAAAATTTATGTTAGCCATTTAGCAACGAAGCTAAAGTCACAGGGTAGACAGAAGCCCTGCCCATGACACGAATCTGCGTCTATTGTGAAGTGACCTTGATGCACAAATGAAACTAATTTGACGCGTGAATGAAGCGAGTAAACTCAGAATGTTCATGTGCGAATATCGTGATTTGTTCGCGTGTGCCGTGTCTGTTGTGCACAGAGAATTAGAGTTAAACTGCTGAGCTTTACCATTTCTTAATCAATTCAGCCGGTCTCTGTTTCTAATGAAAGCACTTTTAGCTTAGCTTAGCATAGATCACTGAATCAGATTAAACCATTAGCATCTGACTTCAAAATAACCAAGATTTTCAGTAAATTTCCTATTTGAAGCTCAACTCTTCCGTAGTTACATAGTGTACTAAGATCGACAGATAATGAAATGTTTTCTAATCTGACATGGCTGCCACCTAAACTCTCATTCTGGCCTAATAATCAAGAAACTAATCATACGAGTCAATCAATATACTCAATAATAAACTCAATGAATAGTGATCACTGCAAGCTAAGCTGAGGCGTTTACAATGTTATTGAACAGAAATAGTCCAGCATACTGTTACGTTTACAGTGTGTGCAGCATTTGAGCAATTCCTAACTGCATGTATTTCTTATTTATCAATGATATCGAGATTATAAATCTTTGCTAGATCAAGAAATCCCTGTCATCTTCAAAGCCTCTGCCTGGTTTGGAGGTTTTTTTCCACGATCAGTCGTAATAACAGAATCTTTGTTGTGTGTCGTCAGGTTCAGTCATGTGCAGAAGATGTCGTTCTTGTTTATTTCGGGGCTTATTCTGGCGTCTCTGGAGCTCAGAGCTCTCTTTCTGACGCATCTCTCGCTGTCAGTCTCCTCTGATTCTGTTCTGAACGTCTCTGGAGAGAGATCCAGATCTCCCCGACAGCAGCTTTACTGTGAGTTTTCTCAGAGTCGAGCGCAGTGTCTCGTGTCTGCGGATCTCTTGCTCTGGTGAAGTTCAACACATTGATGATGTGAGATTTACAGCCAGTGGAGATCAAATGATTCGACTTTTTTTTCAGTTTTCTCTCTGTAGCAAATGTTAATTTTGAATTCTGTAATAACTTAATGCCAAATTCAGCCTGCATGATTTTAGCTACGATTTTAACTCACCGACAGGTTTGGAGAAATGACAGACAAATGTGCTTCCATACTCATTTGCACAGAGTTAAAGTGTTAGTGACGCGTTCGTTCTCTATCCTGTTGTCCTCAGGGTTCTGGAGCGCATCGGGGCGCGAGCGCTGGTGGCTCATGTGCGCACGTTTGCCGACTTCCTGGTGTACGAGTTCTCCACATCCGCTGGCGGACAGCAGCTAAACAAGTGCATCGAGATCCTGAACGACATGGTGTGGAAGTACAATATCGTGACCCTGGATAGACTCATCCTCTGCCTGGTGAGCCTGACCGCTGGTCTGACCTTAACCTTTGTGATTTGTTCAAATGTACTACAATTTCGTTGTAATAGAGCCTGTTTTGCCCCATTGACTTCCATTATAACTGCAAATCCATGACAGCGTATTACCATGCATTCTTCATTGCTGCTACTTTTCCTTTTTTTTGCACTGCAACTGATGATTAACAGTTAAAATAAAAACTGTCGCTCTTACCAACAAGCAAAACCAGCAACAATTAAAAATGCATGATTATATGCTGTCATGGCTTCGCATCTAAAAATTATCATAATGGAGGTCAATGGGGCAAAAGCAGCCCCCAACATAACCAAAGGGTAGTTGATTTGCCCAGAGTGTATTGTTGATTTTTTTTTTTGAAATTTCAAAGCATTTTCCTAAAATATGTGTCAAAATAAGGTTTTGTCACCACATATCATCCCATTTGCTGAAACACAGAGAACATAGTGGCTCAATTAAGACTCAAAGTCACCCCAGAGTAGATAAAAACATCCCCTACAGCACATTAACACCAGGTCATAACCGAACACGCTGAGCCAAGATTACTGCCAAAGCAGTTTGTCTGTCCATAACATACAGCACACGGCTACAGGACATATCACAGCCAATCAGAGGAGAGTCTGGATGGAGATTATGGACATGCTACACACATCTAAGTAACCAAATTAAGTCGTTTTAACGTAACTAAAATATATAATCAGAGCATGCTTGTTGTTTTTTGTTGTTGTCTACTATAGATTTACATCTAACTAAGGTCGAAAAACACTTGACTTTTCTCATAATATATATTACTCCATTAGCTCATTTGAAAAATTTAAGCTTCTGCTCAATCTATACCCCGCCTTTTGTGAGACCCTACTCTGCTGTTCGGTCTCATGGTCCAATCGGATCTGTTTTGCATCTCATTGCAGTTTACTCTGATTGGTCAGATGATTCTTTAATCTCTAATTGGTCACATGGTCCCGTCTGCTCTAATTGGTCAGATGATACTTTGTGCACTAATTAGTCACATGGTCCAGTCTGATCTGATTGATCTGATGGCATCTGTTCTGATCTGATTGGTCAGATGGCACTCGTTCTGATCTAATTGGTTAGGTTGCCTGTTTTCTGATTGGTCAGTTTACCCTTTTCTAATGGTGTCACATGGCCCAGTCTGCTGTTGCTGATCAAATGGCATCTGTTCTGTTCTGATTGGTCAGATAATTCTTTTGTGCTTTAATTGGTCACATGGCCCAGTCTCAACTTTTTAGTCAGATAACATCTGTTCTGATCTGATTAGTCAGATGATTCTTTGTTCTCTAATTGGTCACATGTCCCAGTCTTCTCTGATTGGCCAGATGGAATCTATTCTGATCTGATTGGTCAGATGATTCTTTGCTCTCTAATTGGTCACTGGTCCAGTCTGCTCTGATTGATCAGACGGCATTTGTTCTGCTCTGACTGGTCAGATGACTCTTTGTGCTCTAACTTGTCATACGTTCCAGTCTGCTCTGATTGGTCAGATGACTCTTTGTGCTCTAACTTGTCATACGGTCCAGTCTGCTCTGATTGGTCAGATGGTGTTTTATCATCCAATTGGTCAGATGATTTGTTTGTGCTTTAATTGGTCACATGGTTCAGTCTTCTCTGATTGGTCAGATGACATCTGTTCTGATCTGATTGGTCAGATGATTCTTTGTGCTCTAACTGGTCACATGGTCCAGTCTGCTCTGATTTGTCAGATGGCATCTGTTTTGATTGGTAAGATGGCTGTTTTCTGCTCTAAAGCAGTCACATGGCCAAGTTATCTCTAATTGGTCAGGTGGCCTCTATTCTAATTGGCCAGTTTACCCTTTTCTTCTTCAAAGGAGGCGCATGGCCCATTCGGTCTGATTGGTCAGATGGCCTCTGTTCTCATCTGATTGGTCAGATGACCCTTTTCTGCTCTAAAGTGGTCACATGGCACAGTCTGTTCTGTTTGGTCAGACAACCTCTCTGTGCTTGATCTTTGAAACTTTGCTGACCTTTTGCATTCACACTGCTATATCACACAGTATACGAAAGGTCATATCTGAAAACTTCAACTGTGTCCTCATAAAGCTCCTGTTCTGCATAACTCTGACTAATGTCTTGGCGCAGAACCCTTCATTACAACACTCTGCAGTATTTTCACTTGACATTGTAAGTATTGGCTCTCAAATAACTCTGCACTGACCTCAAAGTGACACTGTAATAATCTGCAACCCAAGCTTTTTTTCAGGTCAGAATGTCCTTTCCTTCACAGTGACGGATGTGTCTGTGCAGTGTAATCTTGATCTTATGTGTCATGTTGACATTAAGAGTGTTGGTATAAAGAGTGACACTGACGTTCTGATATACTTCATCTGTGGATGCTCAATTGGCTTTTAGTTTCTCTGGCTTCAGTGTTGCTGTCATTAAAGAAGACAGAGACGCACCAAATGCTGAGATGCTGAAACTTGAGAGAGTGATTACCCAAACAAAGCCATTCAGTTATTGAAACAGACAGCTGAAAGACCTAATCAGTGGAAATAGGAATTAAACTCTCTGCATTTCAGCCACTGAGGCTTGAATCAGAGATGCTGTTCAGATCTGTTCAAGTCGGTGTGCGAGTCGCCAAAGTGCTTTGGTTACATGTTAAAAACACCTCCACATGAAATCAGAATGCACAATGTTTATTTGGCTTGCACACATTGGTACTATTAAGGTGGACAGGGCTCTGGAACAGTAGCCTTGCTCTGAAGATTGATTGGGTGATAATTTGCTTAGCCACGCCCCTCCAATTATTAGTTTGCAGCAAGTGAAAGATGAGAGGAGTGTCATAAAATCAAAGCTCTGCCCCCTACTCGATTTTCTGCTTCAGTTGGAATTCTTATTACTATCAGTCCTTTAGGGCGGAGCTATCAAGTCATTTAAGGCGGAGCTATCAGTCATTTAGGATGGATCTATCAGGCGTTTAGGGCGGAGCTGTCAGTCATTTTGTGTTTGTCTGTTGGGCCTTTAGGCGGAGCTATCAGTCATTTCGGGTGGGGAAATCAGTACTTTAGGGAGGAGTTATCAGCCATTTGGGGCAGGGCTATCAGTCCTTTACGGCGGAGCTATCAGTTATTTAGGGTGTAGTTTTCAGTCCTTTAGGGTGGAGCTATCAGTCATTTGGGTTGGGGTTATCAGTCCGTTAGGGTGGAGCTGTCAGTAATTTCGGGTTGGGGATATTAGTCATTTGGGGTGGAGCTATCAGTCCTTTAGGGTGGAGCTATCAGTCATTTGGGGTGAGGCTATCAGTACCTTAGGGTGGTGCTATCAGTCATTTAGGGTGGAGCTGTCAGTCATTTGGGGTGGGTCTATCAGTCCTTTAGGGCAGAGCTATAAGTAATTTAGGGCGGAGCTATCAGTAATTTTGGGTGGGTATATCAGTCCTTTAGGGTAGAGCTAGTAGTCCTTAAGCGTGGAGCTAGCAGTCCTTTAGGGTGGAGCTATCAAGTCATTTTGGGTGAGGCTATCAGTACTTTAGGGTGGAGCTATGAGCCATTTGAGGTGGAGCTATGAGTCATTTGGGTTGGGGCTATCAGTCCATTAGGGTGGAGCTATCAGATCTTAAGGGTGGAGCCATCAGACAATTGGGGTGGGTCTATCAGTACTTTAGGGCGGAGCTATTAGTAATTTAGGACGGAGCTATCAGTCATTTGGGGCAGGGCTCTAAGTCTTTAGGGTGCGACTATCAGTCTTTTTAGGGTGACACTATCAGGGCGTGTCTCATTTCTGCTTTGCCTTCATTTTTTATTATTAACGCCCATCTTCCAACAAATTTCAGTACCGTTGTTCGACTATTGTACGTCAAAATAGAGGGAAAAAAGGACAATCTTAACTTCCATATCATGGCGACTTTAATGTCTCAAAAGAGCAGACTGATATTTGCAGAGATTCAGCTGTGCTTCAGTGTTAAATGTCAGGTTTGACTCATTGTATTGGCCTGCCACTGCAGTGTGAAACATTATCAGTGTGTCAGAAGTGAACAGAGGGCCAGCAGGACAGTAAACCGCCTGAGGATCATCCGCTGATCAATGAGCGTCCTGCTGTACTGTACTGGGTGCATTTATCAGTCCTGATCGAACACTGACACTGACCCCCTGATGCAGAGCCCTGTGTCCAGCTGCGCCCTTCTGCTTTTCACCTCTCACTAGCTGTGTTTCCATCCACCTATTTTTATGCACATTTTGGATTATCACTTAAAAACAATAATGGAGTCAGCAGTGTTTCCAGCACACTGTAGAACATCTAAAATGTTGTTTTGGTCATTTCTAAAAGGCCTCAGCCATCAGTCCGTCATCACAGTGCTTCAGTATTATAGTTATTCTCTTATTATTCCCTCCAGAACTGTCTTGAGCATCAGTCTGCGCTCCCAAAGAGCATCTCACACCTCCAAAAGCACCACATTGCGTTCATTGCATTTCGTCTTCTGAAGCGCAACTCATTTATCAGACAAGAAAAAACAGCACAGTGACTTCTCCACACACTCTAAACTACATTTCTCTGACTGATATTTGCCCCAGTTTATCAGGAAGTGTGTGTTGCACTGAACACTGTGTGTTTTCTGCAGGCGATGAGGAGTCACGAAGGGAACGAGGCTCAGGTCTGCTACTTCATCATCCAGCTTCTCCTGCTCAAACCCAACGACTTCCGCAACCGCGTCAGTGACTTTGTGAAGGAGAACGCTCCAGAACACTGGCTGCAGAGCGACTGGCACACCAAACACATGACCTACCACAAGGTAACACACACACACACACACACACTGACTCGCACGAACACACACACAACCTGCTACATGCTAACAACACATCAAACACATGACCTACCACAAGATAACAAACTAAAAAAACACACACACACAACACAACTTGCTACATGCTAACAGTACACCAAACATGTCACCTACTACAAGATAACACACTGAAACACAACCTGCTGCATGCTAACAACACATAAGCACATGTCTTAACCTAATGTAGACATACGCAAACACACACAACCACTACATGCTACCAAATACATGACCTGATGACAGGTTACAAACACAACACAACCTGCTACATGCTAACAACTCACCAAAAATATGACCTACTACAAGCTAGCATGCACAAAACAACTTGCTACATGCTAACAAAGTGGTTTTGGCCACTTCCAGGCTGGTTTACAGCCATTTCCAGCCTGGTCTTAGCTGGTCAGGCTGGAAAATGACCAGCTAAATCCAGCTAAAACCAGCTTGACCAGCCTGGTTTAAGCTGGACATAGCTGGTTTTGGCTGGACTCCCAGCCTGGCTAGGCTGGTCAAGCTGGTTTTAGTTGGTCATCTCCCAGCCTAACCAGCTACGACCAGGCTGGAAATGGCTGGAAACCAGCCTGGAAGTGGCCAAAACCCCTCTAAAACCAGCCTGGTCGACCAGCTAAAACCAGCCAACCAGCCTAGGCTGGTTTAAGCTGGATTTTTCATCAGGGCTGTCCCATGCTAACAAACTATCAAACACATGACCTAACACAAGGTAACACACACACAACCGGCTACATGCTAACAACCTATCAAACACATGACCTAGCACAAGGTGACTTACACAAGCAACCGGCTACATGCTAACAACCCATCAAACACATGACCTACTACAAGGTAACACACACACACACACACACACAACAGGCTACATGCTAACAACCTATCAAACACATGACCTAGCACAAGGTAACACACACATACAACCGGCTACATACTAACAACCCATCAAACACATGACCTACTACAAGGTAACACACACAATCGGCTACATGCTAACAACCCATCAAACACATGACCCACCACAAGGTACCCCGCATGCACAACCTGCTACATGCTAATAATCAACCAATGATATACAGCAAGGTAGCGCACATAATTTAATACATGCTAACAAACACAGCATACCAAAATGTAATGCTCAAAACACAATCTACCACATGCTAACAGCACAACTAACACATGACCTACCACAATGTAGCACACACACACAAATAACATGCTACATGCTAACTATACATCGAACACATGACCTACAAAAAGGTAACACCCACAACCTGCTACATGCTAACAACCCACTAAATAAATGACTATCACACCGTAATGCATCAAAACACATCTAGATAAATGCTAACAGCCCACTATGTCTCATGACCTACAAAAAGGTAACACGCACAACCTGCTACATGCTAACAAGCCACTAAATACATGACTACCACATCATAATGCATCAAAACACATCTAGATAGATGCTAACAGCCCACTATGTCTCATGACCTACAAAAAGACTAGCACAAGGTAACACACAAATCACAACCAGCTACATGCTAACAACCCACTGAAAACACACGACCTTCTATGAGTTAACTCACAAAACACAACCTGCTAACAACTCAGTATGTCAATATGAGATGTAACAACAGCGTTTTCTAACTAAAACAAGGTCTTCATGTGTCTTTTAAAGCTAAATTACAGTGTTGGTAACCGTGCCTAAGATGTTAGCAGATCTCTGACTATTCCCTGCTGAAAAATCCAGCTTAAACCAGCCTAGGCTGGTTTAAGCTGGATTTTTCAGCAGGGTTGCTAAGAAATGTGACATCGGGAGTCTCACAAGCATTCTCTAAATCACTGAGTGTTCTTGAGCCACCTACTATCAGTTGTTTTCAGTTATTGTCTTATCTTCTGTCTCTGCCGTGGTTGATTTAATGTCTTTAATGCCTTTCAATCGCTTACCAAGCTGCTGTGGCTGTGTAGATACACGTTTGCTCTTAAGTGACCTGCCAAGTGAAATAAATGCTGAAATGGCCTGAGCAGAAACGCAGAGACAGTTTGAGGTCTGCTCGCAGATGTACAGTTAGACGTGGATTTGTGGATAATACAATTCTCGACATTTATGGATGAAAATGAAAACCATCTCAGTTCAGGATATTCATCCAAATATCAGGCTTGATGGGTTTCTGAATGTCATGAGCACAGCTATTATCCCCCTCCCGTCTGTAAATCTCTGGCATTTTATGTGGAGATTGACCTCAGATTGCTGTGGCATTTGGTCTTGTTTGTGTATCTGTGCCGAATACAGAACTCAGCATGATTCTGCAGTTCGACCGCACAGAGCTTAGAAGAGTTGTGTTTTATTCATGTTTATCAGTGCAGTTGCTATTGTCAGCAGCTGTTATCTACTGGGAGCAGGGGTGCCGCTATGGGACCCGTGATTTTTTGGAGCCCCAGGAGTTACTATTAGCTCCCTAAAGGTTGATTTATACATCTGCGTTAAGTGATCTGCATGACCCACGGCGCCTTCCTTGTGTGTAGTCGTGCATTTATACTTCTGTGTGCTGTTAGTGTTGCTCTGCATTAACACTTCCGAAACACTAGCTTGACAGTAGGTTTTTATGTTAGTGCTGCCTTAATGTACAAGTAGCTCAAACTCGCTTATTCAGAGGTGGGAACCAGCAGATGTGCAACAACTTTAGTTAAACAAAATACTAAAGTTTCCATCTAGAGCTAATTCACAAGATTCTACACTTGTAAACACTCGCTCCATCAGGTTCACATGGCTTTCGGTCCAGCCCACACTGGTCGCAACTAACAAGCTGACCAATCACAGAGTTTGCACTACGCGTCATTGAGACGCATTTTTTATGATAATTTTTTTTAGGGGAACAGAGAGAGGGGAAGGATCGGCAAAGGACCTTGAGCTGGGATTTAAACTCTGGTTGCCATGAGCACGTCAGTGCTATATGTCGGCCCACAGTACCACTAGGCTTTTGGTACTGACATAGTTAAATTTTTTTTAGAGGTGCATGTTGGCATCAGCAGTTGCGAGGGCTATGCGACCGGGCTAGGCTGCGGCAGAGCATACACATGTGCTTGACGCAGAAGTATAACCCCCCCCACCTACCACTCTTCGCTGTGATAATCTGTGACCCAACAAACCCCCTTCTCCCTCTCCCTGCCCTGCTTTCCATTTTCGTCTGTAAAGCCTGGTTTATACTTCTGCGTCAAGTGACCGGCGTAACCCACGGCGCATGCAACGCCCGTAGCTGTGCATTTATACTTCTGCGCGCTCTCTGTTGGTCTGCATTAACACTTCCGAAATGCTAGTTGGCTGTAAAGTGTAAATGTTCCTCTGTGTCGAGTTTCTTCGCTGTTGCTTTGCTTTTCCTGAACACTTCCTGGATGTACAAGTGGCTCAAACTCGCTCATTTTGAGGCAGGAACCGGCGGACGTGCAACAACTTTAACTATGAGGTAAACACAAAACAAAACTTTCCATCCGGAGCTCCTTCACGGGACTCCACACTTGTAAACAATCGCTCCATTGGGCTAGCGCCGCTTGCGCGGCTCTCGGTCCCGCTCAGACTCGTCAGCGCTACCAAGCCGACCAATCACAGAGCTTGCGCTACGCGTCGTTGCGACGTGTAGTTAAATTTTTTGAGAGGTGCACGTCAGTGATGCCGACGGCCACGGCGAAGGGCTATGCGTCAACGCCGTAGCATACGCCGGCGTTTGACGCAGAAGTATAAATCAGCCTTAACACCTAACCCACCACTGTTTACGCCACCCCCCTCTCTTCAAGTTTGTCCAAGACAACCCGCTCTTCGCTTTCATCGGTCACCACTTTGCCCTTAGAAGGCCCCCCAAAGCATTCCTGTCATAGGGCCAAACTGGGCAGCGGCGCCCCTGACTGTGAGATCTAAAAAACTACAATATAAGCTGATTTGTCTATTCAAAACTGAAAATTTGTGTAAAAATTCTACTTCTAAGGCTGGACAATAGAGTGAAAATATATGATGATATAAGCCATCTTTTAATCTGAAAAGTTTGGAATAAAGTATATCCAGGAGGTTTTTGTTGTATATTATTACATGGGAAATACTGGATTCTGATTGGTTAGTCATGAGATTCCAAGGTTGGTTATTCCCAGATGACAACCAAATGTTGTAGCAGAGAATGCCGTAAGTATAACATATACTCTGTTATACAAAAGTCTTATAAGCGTTTGCATATTAGTGAATATATTACTCATATTAATATAAAAACTGACTAAATATTTAAACATTTCCATAAGTAATTAAATAATGATGGGCTAAAAAATCTACGGATTTCTGTGTACTCAGATTTCGTGCATGCCTAGCCATGTTGACCCCTGAAATGCTTGCACAAGTGTTAATCTGAAAGGTTTGGTAATAAGTAGTTAGCTATGATTGGTAACTGTCTGAAGTTGACATCAGTAATGATCTCCTCGACTGTGCCCCGTGCAGAAGTATCCAGAGAAGCTGTATTTCGAGGGTCTGGCGGAGCAGGTCAATCCTCCTATCCAGCTGCAGTCTCAGTATCTGCCCATTTACTTCGGCAACGTGTGTCTGCGCTTCCTCCCCGTGTTCGACATCGTCATCCACCGCTTCCTGGAGCTGCTGCCGGTCTCCAAATCCCTGGAGACGCTGCTCGATCATCTGGGAGGACTCTACAAGTTTCATGGTGAGGGTCAGGAGAAAAAATGCATGGAAGTTTCATCTTAAAAGATGAAAATGTCCTCAGTTTTCACTCACTCTCAAATGGTTTAAAACTTTTATGAGCTTCTTTCTTCTGTTCAACGCTTCTCTTGAATGCAGCAAAAAAAGCAGCCACTGACATCCATAGAATCAACCTAAATACTATGAAAGTCAATGGCTGTACGTGTGTGTGTGTGTCTATATATATATATATATATATATATATGTTACGGTTCGGTATGTTTTCGACACAGCAAAAAATAAAAAAGCCAGAGGATTTCTCTGATTTAAAGTTTTTAATGTATTAAAACTAACATCATAAAAGTATAATCTCACCGGTCCTGCACGCACTGCTGGAAAAACTAAAATCTTTGTGAAATCTGCAGATCGGCCGGTGACGTACCTGTACAACACGCTGCATTATTATGAGAGGCACCTACGCGACCGCACAAACCTGAAGAGGAAGCTGGTGCATGCCATCATGAGCTCGCTGAAGGACAATCGAACACCCGGCTGGTGCCTTAGCGAGACCTACCTGAAGTGCGGCATGAACGCCCGTGAAGATAATGTCTGGATCCCTGACGACACCTACTACTGCAAACTCATCGGACGCCTCGTGGATAATATCCTTCACTCATATCAGCACACTCTGAGATGCCGATAACACACACACACAGCGATTTTACCATATGCTTTATTTATTTAATAATGTTTTTAATGCAGTTTGAAAGATTGATCTGATGAAGAATGAATATACAGTTGAAGTAGAATTTTTTGCAGTATTTCCTTTAGTATTTTTTTCTTCTGGAGAAAGTCTTATTTGTTTTATTTCGGCTAGAATAAAAAATTTTTTTAAAAACATTTTACATTTAGTCATTTAGCCGATGCTTTTATCCAAAGCGACTTACAAATGAGGACAAGGAAGCAATTTACACAACTATAAGAGCAACAATGAAGAAGTGCTGTAGGCAAGTTTCAGGTGTGATAAGTCTAACAAGGAAAGCATTAGTAATTTATTTTATTTATTTTTTATTTATTTTTTTGTAGTTAGTGGAGGAGTCAGAGAGGGAGTTGCATATTAGTAAGGGAAGTGGAGACTAAATAGTTGAGTTTTTAGTCGTTTCTTGAAGACAGCGAGTGACTCTGCTGTTCTGATGCAGTTAGGGAGTTCATTCCCCCAACTGGGCAGGTTGAACGCGAGAGTTCGGGAAAGTGATTTCGTCCCTCTTTGGGATGGAACCACGAGGCGACGTTCATTCACAGAACGCAAGTTTCTGGAGGGCACATACATCTGCAGAAGTGAGAGCAGATAAGAAGGGGCCCAGCCAGAAATTGTTTTGTAAGCAAACATCAGAGCTTTGAATTTGATGCGAGCAGAAACTGGCAGCCAGTGCAAACGGATGAGCAGCAGAGTGACATGTGCTCTTTTAGGTTCATTAAAGACCATTTAATCATTAAAGAGGCATTTTATGGTCAACATTATTACCCCCCTTAAGCAATATTGTCTACAGCAGTGGTCCCCAACCTTTTTCTAACTGCGGACCGGTCAACGCTTGACAATTTTACTGCAAACCGGGGGGGGGGTTGAAATAATAATAATAATAAACGTGAATCCACTGTGTACTCATATGGAACTTTATTAGCACATTGCTCCAACATTACAATGCTATTATAACATTAGGAAGTAATAACTTTATTAACACATTGCTCCAACAATATAACATATTATAACGTCAAAAACTGTCCGTAACGCTTAATCAATGGGAGCCCTGAGCTTGTTTCTTTGCAACCAGATGGTCCCATCTGAGGGTAATGGCAGACAAAAGCCCCTTTCACACATACAGACCTTTCCGGAAAATTACCGGCAATTTTTTCTGGAAAGGTGTGTGTGTGTGAACAGGGCCTTTTCACAATACCGGTAAATTAGTTCTGGCTATTTATTTTCCGGAAAGAGAAGTTGTCACATTATCTGTAATTTGACGGAATGCTGCGCTTTTTTTTTTTTCCCAGAAAATTGCCGGAAAGAGCGCGTGCACGTGTAGAACGTGCTGACGTGAGACGTCTACTTTAGCCAATCAGAACAGTCAGACGCATTCACGTCCGCGCGGTTTATGAGAATAAAAGGCTTTGAATATTTTTCCAGACACATTCAGCTGCTAGAAATTAGTCAGATAACGTTTATATGTTCATCTTAATGCCAACCGAGTAAATAATTATCGATAAGATGCTTATGATAAGCCGTTATTTGTTTACCTTCAAGCTTTGCGTGTGCCCGTGAAACAGCCCGTGAGCGCCAGCACACACACATATCATGCAAGTCCAATATCCCTCTATTCACGCGTCGTCCCCACAAATCCAGTTTGGCTTTAAATGCAGCTACTTTATCTGCCAACTTAAAGATCATTAATTCTTGTACGGCCCGGTACTGATTGATCCATGGACCGAACCGGTCTGCGGCGCGGGGGTTAAGGGACCATTGGTCTACAGAACAAACCACTGCTATACAATGACTTGCCTAATTATCCATTGAAGTTTTGAGCTACTGAAGATAACGTCAGCTTAGACGTTATAAAGAGGAATATTATTAAAGAGGAGTTTCAGATGAAGCACAAATGAACCGCGACATGAGTCTCCGTAGACTGACGCTTTCTCGCAAACTGACCTTTTTCACACAGATAACGTTAGTCTTGTTTTGAATCTGCCACTATGCTGACACACAGGCACTTGCAGCTCTGTCCTCTATTAGAAAGACCTCAATCTCATTTTAATTTAAAGCCACAGTCACCCAAACCTCACAACAAGGATCAAAACTTGAGTTAGAAAATAGTGTTTGTGTGGTGTTTCGTACAAAGGGACCAAATTTAAGAATGGATACTGAGAAATGCGACCTCTGGTGGAAAGTCACAGCCTCCGAAGTGAGACCCAGATTCAGAGTTCCACATGAGGTTATTAGCAAATAATATAAATAAATACAAGCATGAACATTCGGTGAGCAGGTTACATTGTAAGCCCGTGTCCTAACAACATGCTATACATGACGGGATTTGCAGTGATTAGCAATTTGGCTGTTTGCACGAGACAAAACACAACAGAAATGTAAAACAGCCATTCAGAAGCACAGAATAGTGCGCTCACTGCACTCCAGTGAAATGGTAAGGTTTATAATCTAATTAACACATATTAAACCTCGTTAACATGATTAAATGTAGATGCTGAATCACTGATGTGTGTTGGTTTGCACAGAGTCTCAGTTCTAGAGTTCAATTTCAGACGGTTTATTTTATTGTCCAGATCTGAGCTGAACCATCTGCTGCTGCTTTCAGTAGTATGGCAATAAATGTGATGTAAAATGGCTTTCACACTCACATTAATAGCATTTAACACTGAATAAAGCAAATGAGGTGCACCTGAGCTTATCATTGCCAGTTTTCTGTTTTTTAAAGCTGTGAGAAATAGAAGCCTTTTCTAAAATATAAATTTCAGGTGTTGGTTAGGACAAAAACTCCTTTTAATATGGAAAATATTTCAATAAATCAACCTTAAGGCTCGACATTCAGGCACACTTCTTCTGGTTTCATCAATGTGGCAACCTGTGCTTGCTTGCATTTTGAACCAGGAGTGCAATACCTTGTTCAACCACTGGGTGTCAGACTTATGTATTGCACCTTTAAATGTTAGGTCATTTAGAGTCCAGCGTCTCCTTAACCGAAGTCACCCATGGCAGGTAAATCTCCAGGCCCGTTCCCCAACTGTGACTGGAGGTTTAACGAGTTCCCGAACCCGGCCGCTCATGCGCTGCACGTCACCTGTGTGGAGCTGATGGCTCTGGCGGTCCCGGGGAAAGACGTGGGCAATGCTCTGCTTAATGTGGTGCTCAAGAGGTTTGTCATTAGGAGTTATTATAGGTGTGTTCGGAGTTGTCGAGTCATGCTGTGTGTTGAATTCATACTATTGCATTATTACCTGCTTATTATTACTATATTAACTGTTTATTAGTTGCTATAAAGTATGATTTTATTCTTCATCTCTAACCCTACATGATATCTAAACCCAACGCTTACCTTACTAACTATTAATAAGCTGCTAATTAGTAGTTTAATGAACTGAGGTCTTAGTTATTGGTGTGAATTGATTTATGCATTATTCATGTTGTTACATTGGTCACTATAAGGTTTCATTAGTTTGTGTATTTGCTAATGTGGTGCTCAAGAGGTGTGTTATCTTCATTACCGTGTGTGTGTGTGTGTGTGGAGGAGTGGAGTCATGCTGTGTGTTGAATTATGGGTCTGGTGTTTTACAGTCAGCCGCTGGTGCCTCGAGAGAACATCACGGCCTGGATGAACGCCATCGGACTGGTCATCACCGCTCTGCCTGTACGGCCACACCTTTATTTACATTTTGTGTGTGTGTGTGTGTGTGTTTTTTTGTGACATTTCAGGACCCAAATGTGTATAATGACATGGGTATTACAATAAGATGGTGACTAATAAATACATGAGTTTAAAAGAGTTTTAAATCGTTTACAGCGGGGGAATTAAATATTCATTGTGGCACCATTTTTCTCAGGAAACATTTTTCTAGAGGTGCGGCTGACTTTTCCCCAGATGTTGGTAACAACCAAAGAAATCCTTGTATGCACAGAAAACAAATCTAATTAGTTTACAAATGAAGTTCTGTGTAATAAAATGAAATGAAGCAGGGAAAAAGTATTGAACACATGAAGAAAGGGAGGTGTAGTTCTGCAGTGAAAGCCCAGACAGCAACTGAAATCTCTCAGTAGTGCCCTTCCTCGGTGTAAATGAATATCAGCTGCTTCAGTCCAACATCTACATCAGCAGGAGGATGAAGATGAAGCCAAGGTGGACATTTCAGCAAGACAATGATCCAAAACACAGCCAAGGAGACTCTCAGATGCCTTCAGAGAAAGAAAATCAAGCTGTAGAATGGCCCAGCCAATCACCTGACTTGAATCCAATAGAGATTACAAAATAAAGCTCAGATTTGATCCACAGAACCATCAAGATTTTGACTCTCTGTTGAAGTCTGTGAGAAACTCACACCTGAGCGATGCATTTTTTACTTCATTCTCCATATGAGAGGCGTCTTTAAGCTGCCAAATATACATATATTTTTCAGTACAAATGCACAGAGTTGAGAGGGTTGGGATTGTCATGGGATTTTATATGGTCCATTTCAGGCATTGAAAGTCAGAGAATTAAGTCTATACAGAGCTCATACACCACTCTCTTTTAAATCAGTATTTTCTAAACGATGCTTAACAGTAATAAACAGTTGATAATAATAATAATAATTATTATTATTATTCCTTACATTTATATAGCGCTTTTCTGGGCACTCAAAGCGCTTTACACAGTGGGGGAATCTCCCTTATCCACCACCACTGCGCAGCATCCACCTGGAAGACGTGACAGCAGCAATTTTGCGCCAGAACGCACACCACACACCAGCTGATTGGTGGAGACAGAGTGATGATATACCAATTATGATATGGGGAGGGTTAGGAGGCTGTGATGGACAGGCCAGTGGGCAGATTTGGCCAGGATGCCGGGGTTAAACCCCTACTCTTTTTCGAAGGACATCCTGGGATTTTTAACGACCACAGAGAGTCAGGACCTCTGTTTAACGTCTCATCCGAAAGACGGCGCTCACTGAGCAGCATAGAGTCCCCTTCACTATACTGGGGCATTAGGACCCACACAGACCACAGGTTGAGCGCCCCCTGCTGGCCTCACTAACACCACTTCCGGCAGCAACCTAGCTTTCCCCTGTGGTCTCCCATCCAGGTACTGACCGGGCGCAGCCCTGCTTAGCTTCAGTGGGCGACCATGTGAGAGTTGCAGAGATCTAGCTGCTAGTTGAAACCAGAAGACTGTGTTTTATTCCACGAGCTGCGCAGATCTGTGTTTAATGCTTTGTATTTCTCTCTGCAGGAGCCCTACTGGATCGTCCTGCATGACCGTATCGTGAGTGTGATCAGCAGTGCGGTGCTCAGCTCTGGGTCAGATTGGCTGGGTTACCCATTCCAGCTTCTGGACTTCACCGCTTGCCATCAGTCCTACTCAGAGATGCACTGCAGTTACGTTCTGGCTCTGGCTCACGCCGTGTGGCATCACTCCAGCATCGGCCAGCTCTCGCTCATACCCAAGTAAGACTTTACACCTGCATCACTTTTCTGCTGAAAAACTGGCAGTAGCTCTTTTATTATTCAGTAACACGTTAGTTTAAGGATGTACTCACACTAGGCTATTCATTTGACAATCGCGCCTGGGCACTGTTCAACACAACTATGCCTAGTGTGAGTACATCCTAAGTTTAAGTTTTGTTGGGAACCTGTTGCGTTCAGGCATATGTGGAAACCCACAATCGCTCTCTGATCTGTACCAAAACAATCGTTCGGAGATCGCCTGAATGTGGTGGTCTCGGCTCAATTAAATTGAACTCTGAAACAGTTCGGTTGTAGTGAGAAAGCAATAAGATCCGCATTATTCAATAGGAATGCTGTAATCATGCTGTTACATTGGTCACACTTTACTATAAGGTTTTCTCTGTTCTACACTGCTCTATTGTACTCTACTCTACTCTATATTGCTCTACTCTGCTCTACTCTATTCTACTCTATCTTACTTGGATATCTTACTTATCTACTCTGTTCTATTCTACTCTATATTGATCTACTCTTTTCTAAACTTCTCTATTCTACTCTTATCTTACTCTATTCTTCTCTACTCTATTCGACTCTACTCTTTTCCACTAAACTCTATTCTGCTCTATTCTACTATCTTACTCTATTCTACTCTACCCTATTCAATTCTACTCTACTCTTTTCTACTCTGATCTACTTTATTCTACTGTTCTCTCTTACTCTATTCTGCTCTATTCTACTCTACTCTATCTTACTCTATTCCGCTCTACTCTATTCTACTCTGATCTACTTTATTCTACTCTACTATGTCTTACTCTATTCTGCTTTACTCTATCATAATCTATTCTGCTATACTCTATTCTACTCTGTCTTACTTTATTCTACTCTACTATACTCTATTCTACTCTATCTTACTCTATTCTGCTATACTCTACTCTGATCTACTTTATTCTACTCTAGCTTACTCTATTCTGCTCTACTCTATTCTACTCTATAATACTCTAATCTACTCTACTCTGTCTTACTCTATTCTACTCTATTCTATCATACTCTATCTTACTCTATTCTGCTATACTCTATTCTACTCTGATTTACTTTATTCTACTCTATCATACTCCATTCTGCTCTACGCTATTCTACTCTCTTACGCTATTCTGCTCTACTCTATTCTACTCTTTGTTACTCTATTCTGCTTTATGCTATTCTACTCTGATCTACTTTATTCAATTCTACTCTATCTTACTCTATTCTGCTCTGCTCTATTCTACTCTGTCTTACTCTATTCTGCTCTACTCTATTCTACTCTGTCTTACTCTATTCTGCTCTGCTCTATTCTACTCTGTCTTACTCTATTCTGCTCTGCTCTATTCTACTCTGTCTTACTCTATTCTGCTCTGCTCTATTCTACTCTGTCTTACTCTATTCTGCTCTGCTCTATTCTACTCTGTCTTACTCTATTCTGCTCTGCTCTATTCTACTCTGTCTTACTCTATTCTGCTCTGCTCTATTCTACTCTGTCTTACTCTATTCTGTTCTACTCTATTCCACTCTATCTTACTCTATTCTTTTTTTCTCTGCTCTACTCTATTCTGCTCTACTTTATTCTACTCTATCTTACTCTATTCTGCTCTACTCTATCTTACTCTATTCTGCTCTACTCTATTTTACTATATCTTACTCTATTCTGCTCTGCTCTATTCTACTCTATCTTACTCTATTCTGCTCTACTCTGTCTTACTCTATTCTGCTCTGCTCTATTCTACTCTGTCTTACTCTATTCTGCTCTACTCTATTCTACTCTGTCTTACTCTATTCTGTTCTACTCTATTCCACTCTATCTTACTCTATTCTTTTTTTCTCTGCTCTACTCTATTCTGCTCTGCTTTATTCTGCTCTACTCTGTTACTCTACTCTGGTCTACTCTATTTTATTCTACTCTTCTCTATTCTGCTCTACTCTATTTTACTCTACGCTTCTCTTTTCTACTCTGATCTACTCTTCTACTCTGTCTTACTCTATTCTGCATTACTCTATTCTACTGTTGTCTATTTTACTCTACTCTGTTGTATTCTACTTTATACTACTCTGTTGTATTTTATACTATGTTGCAAATCTCTGTTCTAATCTTCGCTATTCTGCTCGATTCTGCTCTATTCTATTCCATTTTCTTTTTCTAACTCTTCTACACGGTTCTACTCTACCTTACTTTCTTCTACTCTATTTTACTCTATTCTGTTGTACACTAATTTTCCGTTGAGTCTTCAACTCTATTTTACTCTATTCTACTGTGCTCTACTCTATTCGGCTCTACTCTACTCTATTCTACTCTATTTTATTCTGTTGCATTCTACCATATATTGCTCTACTCTATTCGACTCTATTTTCTTCTAATTCTTCTATTCTGCTCTATTCTACTCTACCTTAATGTCTTCTACTAATTCTTCTACTCTATTCTGCTGGATACTACTTAAAAAGAATTCAGTTAATTATTTTACTCTGTTCTGTATCCTACTCTATTTTAATCTACTCTGTTCTACTCTATCTTACTCTATTCTACTGTGCTCTACTCTATTCCGATCTACTCTTCTCTATTCTACTCTATTCTTCTGTGCTCTATTCTACTCTGTAGTATATATTGCTCTCCTCTGTTCTACTCTTCTCTATTCTACTCCATTTACTTCTAATTCTTCTACTCTGCTCTATTCTACTTCACTTTCTTCCACTAATTCTTCTACCCTATTCTTCTCTATTCTGCGTACACTTCTCTACTTTTTTCTATTAATTCTTCTACTATTTCCTCTAACACACTAAGACCACAAACGATTTCTTCGCGATGAGAAAATCATCGCATGCGGCAGCAAAAATCAGGCAGTGCACACCCAGCTGTGGTGTATTTCAGTTTCTAATTAAAGCGTCCAGCATTTTCATTCAAAATGTTTACATTCAGTTCTACTTTCTTACTAAAAAACACATTTATTACATCCATTTTGCTAATTTCTGCACATTGATGTGTAATGACTTTCTTCAGAATGGATTATTATATCAGGAAAATGTAACATCGGCTAACCTCAAGTATGTATTTCTTGATATTTAGGTGCATAACTGCAGCAGATTCAACAAAAATGCATGTTTTAAAGTTGAATGGTTGTGTTTTGAGTTGAATGTTTGCCGCAGCTGGTTGAGGAGACTCAGATTCAGAGATGTGTGATCTATTTTTAGACACTCTGCAGGGACATACTGTGTTGTTTTGTTTGCCTTAAATGTGTTTTTAAAGCCCGGTGGACGCTGCTGGATCAGTGAGGTCTGCAGCTGATGGTCCGTTTGTGAGTATTTGAGGAGTGTTGATGATTCAGTTCACCTGCCTCCACACACTCCAGATCTCAGCACATCACACTGCTCTGTGTGTGTGTATGTGTGTGTTAGAATACTGCAGTGTGTGTGTACTGCAACCTGTGGGCTGAAGACGTTGAGTGGCTCGCGGAGGGGTTTAGTGATGCATGGCATTCCTTTTGAAGATGTGTTGAAGCTTTTGTCAGGCATGATTCCAGTGCGTAAGAGATACAGATGACACTTTTTTTTTCAAGGACAATTATTTTACTCTTTTTGCGTAGAGATTTAAGTCCTTTGTGTCCCCAGAATGTGTCTGTGAAGTTTCCGGTCAAAATACCCATCAGAACATTGCAAGAGTTCACACTTAGCTGATGATTGATTATAAAGCTTGTTTGGCATGCTCTCCTGGGAAAGAGCCTTGAGCTCATAAGATCCTCGAGCCAGGGGCTCCCTCCCGTTTGCAAGGCAAGGGGAGTTTGAGCTCAGGTAGATCTGGAGAACTCCCCTGCTGTAGTCGCTAATGAACAGATAGTGATTGCTCTTAAGAGATATCTACTAGCTAATAGGGATGCGACGATTAACCGGTTTCACTATTAACCGCAATTGTTATTACACTCAATATTACACTCAATCCGTCAAACTGACATCATCAGAGAAGAACTGCCTTTCCAGAGCAGAAGCAGATGATCAGAATTCGATTCAAGATTACCAAAACATGTTTTATTCAGTGGATTAGCTTTGATTAATTGTTCACTTTAAGACTAATAGTTTGTGCCAGCAAAATAAACACTGTTTATTTAGATTTCATGCAGATTTTAAGGATAATCTAGGCAGCGTGCAGTATTTAATATGAAGATCCTCAATGCTGGAGATGTAAAATGGTCGCCTGATGTGTTTGTTCAGTCATTAACACTGACATGTCAAATATGTGACACTTCACTGCTGTTACACACTCTCCAGTGGATGTTCATCATTGTGACACCGAACAGCACTGAGTGACACATTCATGCTGTATGTGTGTGTATGTGTCTGTCAGGTTCCTGTCGGAGGTCCTGAAGCCCATCGTGAAGACTGAGTTCCAGCTGCTGTACGTTTATCATCTGGTGGGCCCGTTTCTGCAGCGCTTCCAGCAGGAGAGAACCAGATGCATGCTGGAGGTACACACACACACACACACACACACACACACACACACACACACACACACACACACACACACACACACACACATACATACATTCTCAAACATGTACATACAAACACATGCACACACACTCACATACACACGCATGGACGCTCGCATGCACACATGTCTGCAAGCATCATTACACACAGCTCTGCTTTTGTGAATTGTGGGGACACTTTGTGAGCGTAATAATGTTTATTCTGTACAAGCTGTGTTTTCTGTTGCCCTTCCCCAGATCTACACTTAAACACAAGCCTTACTGAAATCTGTGCACACACTGACATAATGTACATGCTCTTAAGAATGCACACACAGACACACACACCTGCTCATTTCACAGTCACGCTCACCTTGACTCTTCAAAGCAAAGCCTCCTGGGAGAAAGCGAGCGGCACAGCAAATCAAGAGGCTGGACTTGATTAGAGCACAAGTGTCTGAATATGTGGCACATATGCAGCAGGTCTGACACACACACACACACACACACACACACACACACACACACACACACACACACACACACACACACACACACTCTCTTCAGCCAGATGAGTACCTCGTGCTGTGCTCCTCAGGGGCTCTTTGAAGAGTCCATCTAATGGAAGTGCTCTCTGCACACTGACCTCGCAGCGCTTTTACCCACAAACCCTAGCCTGTCACTCTCTGAGCACTCCTTCTGGAGGAGCTGCTGTGGGGAACCAGGTCTGGACATCACAGGTGGTCAGTTTGAGTGCCAAAAGTCTTAAAGCTGCCTGAAATGGAAGTTAAAAGTGTCCTTTTTTCTCTTGTCGTGACTCCATCCACTTGAAACGCTCCTGATATTAGATAACAATAGCATTGCTAAAAAAATGAAAGAAGATTGACTATTGGGTGAAAGCAGAGCATAAACAGGACCTGCACTAATATCCCCATCCTAAAAGACTGATAGCTCCATCTTAAATAACTCATAGCTCCACCCTAAATGATGAAAAGCCTCCCTAAAAGACTGACAGTCCTGCCCTAAATGTCTGATAGCCCCACCCTAAATGACTAATACCCCTGCCCTAAAGAACGCATAGTGCTGCCCCAAATGACTGATAGCTCCACCCTAAATTACTGAATGCCCCACCATAAATGACTGATAGCTCCAACCTTAAGGAGCGATAGCTCTGCGCCTGAAGGACTCATAGCACCACCTTAAGTGAATAATAGCTCCACCCTAAAGAAATGATAGCCCCATTCTAAAGGAATCATAGCTCCACCCTAAAAGACAGATAGCTCTGCCCTAAAGCACTCATAGAACCATCTTAAATGATGGAAAGCTCCACCCTAAATGATTGATAGCTTTACACTAAATGACTAATAGCTCCACCCTAAATGTCTGATAGCAGCGCCCTAAATGACTGATAGCTCTACCCCAAATGACTAATAGCTCCACCCCAAATGACTAAGCACCGCCCTAAATGATTGATAGCTCCACCCTAAGTGACTGATAGCTCCACCCTAAATGACTGATAGCGCCGCCCTAAATGACTGATAGCTCCACCCTAAATAACTTATAGCCCCACCCTAAAGGGCGCATTGCACCTCCCCTAAATGACTGATAGCTCCACCCTGAGACTTATATCTCCGCCCTAAATTAGTGATAGCTCTGCCCTAAATGACTCATAGCACCACCCTAAATGACTGCCAGCCCTGCCCTAAGGGATGCATAGTACCGCCCTAAATGACTAATAGCTCCACCCTAAATGACTGATAGCAGCACCCTAAATGTCTGATAGCCCTGCCCTAAAGGACACATAGTACCGCCCTAAATGTCTGATAGCCCTGCCCTAAAGGGCACATAGTACCGCCCTAAATGTCTGATAGCCCTGCCCTAAAGGGCACATAGTACCACCCTAAATGTCTTATAGGCCTGCCCTAAAGGACACATAGTACCGCCCTAAATGTCTGATAGGCCTGCCCTAAAGGACACATAGTACCACCCTAAATGTCTGATAGCCCTGACCTAAAGGACACATAGTACCGCCCTAAATGTCTGATAGCCCTGCCCTAAAGGGCACATAGTACCACCCTAAATGTCTGATAGGCCTGCCCTAAAGGACACATAGTACCGCCCTAAATGTCTGATAGCCCTGCCCTAAAGGACACATAGTACCGCCCTAAATGTCTGATAGCCCTGCCCTAAAGGACACATAGTACCGCCCTAAATGACTGATAGCTCTGACCTAAATGACAGAAAGCTTCGCCCTAAAGGACTGATAGCCCTGCGTCTGAAGGACTCATACCATAATGGAGCAATGTGGGTCTCTTAGCCTGATAAAAGGAATATTTGAGGTTAGTGTATACTCCATTCAGCGGGTTTTGTTTTTTGTAAGCTTGTGTTTAATTAAAGAAATAATAAACTACTTGTCTACATTTTACAACTTGTGTCAAGTAGTCATGTAATAATCAGGATAAAGTACATCCAGAATGGTTGTTTTCACAGAATAAATTGTTCAGTCTTATACAACAGTGCTGCGCTTTACATCAGGCTTTATTCTGTCATAACAACCTCCTGGATGTACTTGATCCCTACCGTAACATTTATACAGTCTCGCAGTTATAAGCGCTTCTTTGAGAGCAGCCAAAATGCTGAAGTGGCCCTCAGTGAAAATGAGCTTGACACTCCTGATCTAAAGCGTCATCTGGATGCATTTACACAAACTGTTTCATGAGTTCCAAAAGCTGCCATAAATGCGGCTAACATTTCCACATGAACCCAGATGAGTGTATGTGTTTGTGTGTGTGTGTGTGTTTCTTTCTCAGATTGGAGTGGCGTTTTATGAGATGCTTCAGGCTGTGGATCAGCACAGCAACCACCTGGCCTACATGGACCCCATCTGTGACTTCCTGTACCACATCAAATACATGTTTACTGGGGACAGTGTCAAAGACCAGGTGAGTAACGGCTCATCTAAGTTCTCCTCTGCGGCTCGGTTCAGCTCCACGCGGGTTCATCTTTAAAACATGCACACAAATCCTGATGCTGTGACTGAAAGCAGCCGTTAACTGCCGTACCTTATTCCGTCTAGAGGTGCTCAGCGAATCGTTCGGGACGCGGTCTCTGGTAATAGAGCCTCCGACAGCCTCACAAAACGTAAAATCGAAATTCCCACACCGAAATCTTTCTGGGAGAAAAGCCAACGTAGTGAAACATGCGAACCCCTCCCCTTGACGGCCGTGCCGAAACCCGCCCCGCGTCACGATTGGCTGATGAAATTCAAACTCGGAATGAGATTAGTGGAAGTGGGTGTCAGTCTGAAATACTCGTCTTCTATTGGTGAGCTCGGAGAGTGGTTTATAATAAGGATGTTGACTACCGAACTGCGGACAAAAGGAGAAATAGCTTTCAGATTTCAGAGAAATAGCGCCCACTGGTGGATCAATGTAAAACTAGCAGGACAGAGCAGATTAAAGGGATAGTTCACACAAAGGTTTACCGTTTACTTATCCTCAAGTGGTTCCAAACTTGTATGAGTTTCTTTTTTTCTGTCAAAGAATGTTAGAAACTGGTAACCATTGACTGTTTTTTTGGACATTTGTTTGTCCTATTGTGGAAGTCAGTGGTCACTGGTTTCTCTTTTATTTTATTCTGTGACAAATGAACGTTGAGTAAATGAGGACAGAATTTGCAGTTCTGGGTTAACTTTAAGGGTGCTTTCACACTTGGGTCGATTGTCTGGTCCGAACTCAAGTTCGATTCTCCCCCCTTGCCACCTTCTTGGCTTGTTTGTGTTTGCGGGCGTGCACCCAAGTTCAGATGACATCATTCACACTAGCTAAACGTACCGAACTCTGACGTCAAATGAACCCAGGTGTGGATCAATAGTGCTAGTGTGAAAGCACCCTAAAATATAAATATGATCTCATGTTCTGTCTAAAGCTGCACGGTGGCACAGTGGGTAGCACGTTCACCTCAAAACAAAGAGGTTGCTGGTTCGAGCCCTGCCTGGGTCAGTTGGCATTTCTGTGTGGAGTTTGCATGTTCTCCTCGTGTTCGTGTGGGTTGTAAATAGTTTCCTCTGGGTGCTCCGGTTTCCCCCACAAAACATGTGCTGGATAAGTTGGCGGTTCATTCCGCTGTGGCGACCCCATATTAATAAAGGGACTAAGCCGAAAAAAAAACGACTGAATAAATGTTCTGTCAATCATGTTTACAAACTGCCTCTAAACTTTCATTCATTTTGGTTTCGGCTTAGTCCCTTTACCAATCAGGGGTTGCCACAGCGGAATGAACCACCAACTTATCCAACATAGGTTTTACGCAGCAGATGTCATTCCAGCTGCAACCCATCACTGGGAAAACATCCAAACACGCTCATTCACACACATACACTACGGACAGTTTAGCTTACCCAGTTCCCCTACAGCACATGTGTTTGGACTGTGGGGGAAACCGAAGCACCCAGAGGAAACCCACACCAACACGGGGAGAACATGCAAACTCCGCAGAAAAATGCGAACTGGTCTCAAACCAGCGACCTTTTTGCTGTGAGGCGATTGTGTTACCCACCTCTCTGAAACAGATGAGGATTTTCTGCATCTGTAGCAAGCATTTTGAGATGTGTTTTGACTGTTCAGAGTCACCGTACAATTGAAAGCCAAAATGCAGAATACCATCAGACTCTCAAATCAGAGCACTTCAGGACAAACACACACAGGATATAATGAGAGATTGGGGAAGATGATTGCAGAACAGCTTGGCTCCGGTGTCAAATGGAGCCGTTGACATCCTGAAATAATCACTGACTCTATTGGGGTAACCCTGCTGTTCTTTGATACAGAAACTCTGTATTAAAGAAACTCTCCTTGCTCTCTCCACAATCTAATAAAGTCTGGATGGACCCAATATCTACTACTGTTTTTTTGAAGATGCCATAGAGAGCTTTGATTCAGTAAGTTAAATCATGCCCTGATGTCCCCATAGTAGCTATGTGGCTTAGATACATTTAAATATGCTTATTTATAAAATTAATAATTACCCCTACATTGAAAATATTGGGTCGACACATGACTCAGTGGTTAGCACTGTCACCTTACAGCAAGAAGGTCGCTGGTTTGAGTCCTGGCTGTGCCAGTTGGCATTTCTGTGTGGAGTTTGCATGTTCTCCGTGTTGGCGTGGGTTTCCTCCAGGTGGTCCGGTTTCCCCCTCAGTCCAAACACATGCGCTATAGGGGAATTAATGAACTAAATTGTCTGTAGTTTATGAGTGTGTGTTTCCCAGTACTGGGTTGCAGCTGGAAGGGCATCCACTGCATAAAACATATGCTAGAATTGTTAGCAATTCAATCCTCTGTGGCAACCACTGATAAATAAAGGGACTATGCTGTAGGAATATGAATGATTGAAGAAAATATTGGTTTTGACCATATTTGGAATGGTCATGAATATTAATGACCTCTACTCTGATGCTCCTCTGCTTGTGTGATCTCTCTCTCTTTCCCTTTTTCTGTAAAGTCTACATGAACCAGAAGCTGCAAGGATTTTTTTTTTGTATTGTGACGCAGTTCCTAGAGAAACTAAATATTAAATAATTTAAAAGTGGGCGTGGCTTGTTTTTTTCTCCTGCGAACTTGATTGAATGTAGTAAAGTAGGCGTTTTATTCAGAGTTCTTTCAACATAACAAACTCCTCCTGCTCACCATTTCAGTTTGTTGTCTAAACTGACAGCTAGAGGGGAGTGGTTAAGTATGTTAGCCACGCCCAATACCTCAGACAGGCCAAATCTGAGAATTCAGCTGGAAACAAACAGGAAGTGCATTTTCAGATTTAGATTAAAGATTAAAAGAGCAAACTATTGTTTTTTTCTTAATGACATGCACAGATGAATTGATCAGCACTAAGCTAGCAGTTTGAGCTAATAAAATCGCCATGGTTAGATTTGATTTCATGTCCACTTTAAGCCATCAGAGTAACTTAGTTTGCCCCTGAGTTACATTGTGGATAGAATATAAGCTAAATGATAATAATACTCTGCAATAGGGGCCGACAGGGAAGTATTTAGTGTTGAATTTTAAGTAATTCCTTACTTTTCTCAGTGCTGAAGTGATTTAATTACAGTAACTAGTTACTTTGCAGCTGAAGGAGAATCAGACGGTCTGGCTGTATCTGATCTCAGGTCAGCTGCCGGCGCTGGTCTGTATTCAGTGGATGCTGTTTGTTTGTTTCTGCCTCGGGGAGAACAGGAAAGGTCAGATCTATCAGCTCAGTCTCCACCGTCACAGCAAATAAATCAGTACCTCGCTTTACCACACTCTTTATCTGAGGGGATTTCATACATCCTTGTCTTTTTAGCCCTCAAACTGTTTATTTCCTGTGCACTTATCTTGTTATTTATAGAGTAAGTGTATGTATAATGTACTTACTTAAAACAGTTGGGTTAATAATACCCCAACAGGTAACCTAATGTTGGGTTGTTTTGGCACCGACCTGCTGTTGGGTTGTTTTAACCCAAGTTGTTAAGATTAACACTATAATTTAGGTTACAAAATAACTAGTTTGTTGGGTTACTTTTGCCAACAAGTGGCTTAACCACTAATATCTCAAATATGTGTATCATGTCCTCCAAAAGAAAAACTGTAGAGATGAACACGGAGGTAGAGAAAGCACTTTTATCCATTTACACAGATCTGCTATGAAGCCTGCATTTGTATCATCAAATTAAGAGTGCTGGATGTAAAAAACACGACACGGAGAGGTCATTTGATTAAAAAAAACAACAACATTATTGCGTTAGAGCTAAAATAAACACTATAACGCAAAAACAACATTACGCAAGCATATTAATCATAGACTTAAAGATATGGGTGTAGTATCCATGACGTCACCCACTGGTTTCTGAACTCTGCAAAAGAACCTACAAGTAGGCGTGGCCAACTGTCGCCATTTTGTTTGCGCGTCATCGCACCCATGGCGGGATACCAAACAAGGGCAAAGAGGAGGAGAGTGGGCGGAGCTACATACACCTGCTGGCATTTAGCTTGGACCTGGTTCAGACACACTTTACTTTGGGAAAAACGCTTAATACTTTATTACCTGTGACTTGTTTGTGTTCTGACCACTTGTGCTTGGCTGTTCACTATATCAATAAAGTGTTTAGACTTGAAAAACACTGCTGTAATACATTGAGCCACTAAACATTGATCTTATGACATTTTTCAATAGGAGGAAAATGCTAATTCCAAACACTTCAGATATAGTCTGTGTTAGTTAATGTAAGACTATTGATGACATCCAGCATAACACTGTTTGACAACGCTTCAGATGACTGATCTAGAGCCTACAGCTAATCAATCCGTCAGATTCTAGAGTGCTTTATAGCTCTAAAAAACATTATAAATGATCTTAAATAAAACAAATACATTTATAGAGAGGGTATATAAGGATATAATTTCACTCAGCAGGGAAATGAAGGACACATGAACGGTTTGTGGGCACAATTAAGTGCACACAGCATCCCATATCATCTGATAATTGTAGGAAATAATCCCAAAAGGCAGTTGACTGTGTAAAGAAACATTAACCAAAACAAAAATATGATGTATATGAAGAGTTCAGCAGCTAATCAGACGGAATCAGCTGAGCTGACCAGACAGCAAGCAGCGATACGTAGCTGTCACTCAAGTGGCCACGCCCTTAATTATACAGACTTAATATAACTTAATAAAAATGAAACGGATGAGATATAAAAAAATTCACCCCACACAGTTGTCATGAAGGGTAATCATAGCTATATGCACCAAAGCCATCTTTTGTCCCAGGCTGTAAACATGTTTCATCAGCTGTAAAAGTGGCCAGTTTACCAGCGCAGTCAGAAATCACTTAAATTTCCTGGAGCCAGCCCCCCAAGGCGAGTCGATGCATTGCAGTTTTAGTTACTCTGTATTGGCTTCCCAAAGGAGAGCCAGATGTTGCCGCTTGATATTAATACAGTTGTTCTGTCAGTTAAATCAGTTGACTGGTTGAGTTATTAAATAAATAACCCAACAAAGGCTAAAAATAACCCGACAAAGCACCAAACATTTAACCCAACTGGTTAAGTTATTAATAAACAACCCAATAATGGTACAAAATAGGCCAAACAAAGTAATAAAATAATTAATAAATAAATAACACAACATTTTTTAGAGTGAATACATACTGTTTATATACTGTTTATATATAATCTATATATCTATTTTGTTTGTTTGCTTCTTAGCTATACATTAAAGTGGACCTATTATGCAGAAATCACTTTTATAAGGGGTTTAAACACAGTTGTGCAGCAGCAGTGTGTGAATATAACCAGCCTATAATGTCAAACGTGTGTTATTAGTATTTTTTTATAATCCGACTTGATAAAAACTGCAGAAACACTTTGACATTCTCCCTTTGTACGTGTCATCAGAGGGGGAAAGCCCCGCCCACTAGTGACCTCATTAGCATAGGACTTTAGTCTTGTTTTTGAATCTGCCACTATGCTGGCACAGGGGCATTTGTAGCTCCGCCCTCTTCTGAAAAGATCACTATCTCATTTGTATTTAAAGCGACAGTCACCAAAACACCACAATTAGGATCAAAACCTGAAAGGGGCAGTTTCAGAGAGTTAGAAAACATTATTGGTGTGGGGTTTTAAGCTGAAACTTTACACGCACACACACACACACACACACACACACACACACACTCTCTCTCTCTCTCTATGCATGTCAGAGACTTACTTGTACCTACTTTACCACAAACAACCACACCTTGCTGTATATGTGAAATAAGATTTTTTATGAAAAGTCACTTCAATGATTATCTAGAAACAGACCCCAGTGTGTTATTATGATGGTTGCTGATGTGTGTGTGTCTGTGCAGGTGGAGCGCATCATCTGTTCTCTGCGTCCAGCAATGCGTCTTCGTCTACGCTTCATCACACACATCAGTAAGATGGAGCCGGCGGCGGTGCCCGTGTCCAACAGCAGCAGCGTCCAGCAGACCAGCAGCGCCTCCTCACCCACAGCACAGAGCACTGCTGGAGCCGCCATACCACTGTCTGTGACACAGTGATACACACACACACACACACCTGACACACAACACTAACACATTACAATGAACAAACCATCACACACACACACACGACATGCACAACACAGTGAACAGACCATCACACACAAACAGACACCCTGCCTTATGCTCATCTAGAAGGAGCTGAACTGATGAACTGTTGCATTTATGGTTAAACCTTTTCTAGAGCCTGAACTTTTGATTCCGCAGCGTCTGTTTTTATTTCTCTTCTGCATTCAATCATGTTCATTAGCATTTTTGTTTCATCTGTAATAAATAGTCCTGGGTTAACTGTGCTGTTTATTTGTCTTTAGTGTGTGTAACTGCTCTAGTGCTGCACAATATTCATCAGATAATCCTAAAAGAAATAAATTACAAAGTACACTCACCGGCCACTTTATTAGGTACACCTTACTAGTACCAGGTTGGACCCCCTTTTGCCTTCAGAACTGCTTTAATCCTTCGTGGCAGAGATTCAACAAGCTACTGGAAATATTCCTCAGAGATTTTGCTCCATATTGACATGATAGCATCACACAGTTGCTGCAGAACCCAGGACTATTCTCCTTCACCAAACGTGCCTGATTTCTGTCAGAATCTTTGCTCCATGTGGGTTCCCGTTGGTCTTCAGCAGTGTTTGTGATGATTGGGATGCAGATCAACAGATGATTAATGGGGAAAAATCCACCTTCTGCCACTTTTCACAACGATCAACTTGAAGTCAGGTTATTATCTGTTGCTCTTACAACTAGGGTCTTTTCTCAGGTAGTGTGCATAAGGGAGCTCTATCACTTCATTCATTCATTCATTTTCCTGTCGGCTTAGTCCCTTTATTAATCTGGGGTCGCTTATACAGCAAGTTTTTACGCAGCGGATGCCCTTCCAGCCGCAACCCATCTCTGGGAAACATCCACACACACATTCACGCAAACACTCATACACTACGGACAATTTAGCCTACCCAATTCACCTGTACTGCATGTCTTTGGACTGTGGGGGAACCCGGAGGAAACCCACCCGAAGGCAGGGAGAACATGCAAACTCCACACAGAAACGCCAACTGAGCTGAGGTTCAAACCAGCGACCTTCTTGCTGTGAGGCGACAGCACTACCTACTGCGCCACTGCCTTGCCTCTATCACTTCTTGATGGCAGTAATTAATACATTGGAGATTAAACATGACTTGAAATGTTTGCTATTACTTGAGCATTACAAAAAAAACCAACCAACAACAAAAACTCATGGATCGACTGAAGTGACCTGTAATGTGTTACACCCGTGACTTTCAGGCCAACTCGAACAAGCTTCTGTTCATGAGACCAGACAGTGAAACAAAGAGCCGAGTAATCCTCTGTGCAGAACCAGTCTTTTCTTCCAGGAATAACTCTGAGGCTGCTCATGATTCGATCACGATGAGACCGTTTCAGGCCTTTAAAAACAGCCTGTTTTGATGAACCTAAGATCTTATCTTTAGTTAATTCGATTCAAGTTTATTTGTAGAGCGCTTTTCACAATGAGTATCATTACAAAGCAGCTGTGCAAAATGTGCATACATTACTGTCAAAATCAGAAAGAGTTAAGGCAGGGGTCTCAAACTCAATTTACCTAGGGGCCGCAGGAGGCAAAGTCTGGGTGAGGCTGGGCCGCATAAGGGATTTCACAACAAAAAAAAAAGTCCTCAAATGTCATTATTAACAGTTTTAATTATTTCTTCTGAACATGAAGTGTCCTGAACATTAATAGAACATTGAGTGAAGATTATGAACAGTTCTTCTGAACATGGCATCTTTTGCCTACTTCTTGCTGCCAGAGACTTGACAGCGCTTCTTCTCACAAATCTGAACCACATTTGGCTTTAGAGCGGAAGCAGTTGAGACCCTCAGTATGGCTTGGGGGAACTCACTCAAAACTTCCATTCCCTCACCTGAAAAAAAAGGCGTATATATGTATAAATAAAACACCCCCACCCCACTCCAGTCACATCAGTCTGTACCAGTCTGTATCTACCTATAATATATATAAGATGCAGGCTGTAGCTAGGTAGGTGGCAGGCTGCAGATAGGTAGCTAAGTGGCAGGCAGGGGCGGGAACAGCTTACCTTGGTTCTGGCCGGCGCGAGTTCCCGCCCGTCACAGCGTTTAACAAAGGGGCGGGGTGCGTGGTGACGTCACCGGCATCCCCGCCTCTTTGTTTACACGGCGGGCGGGGAATGCCAGTGACCGCTGTGTACGGATAGAATCAGCGGAGCGGGGAGCGCTCTCTCTCCCCGCTCCACTGATTCTGTCAGTGTACAGCGGTCGGCGCGGGCCACAAAATATTGCACTGAGGGCCGCAAATGGCCCGCGGGCCGCGAGTTTGAGACCCCTGAGTTAAGGTGTCTTATATAGGCTAGAACAGGGGTGTCAAACTCAATCCCTGGAGGGCTGAAGCCCTGCACAGTTTAGTTCCAACCCTGCTCCAACACACTTACCTGTTGTTTTTAAACAAGCCTGAAGGACTCAATTAGTTTGATCAGGTGTGTTTAATTAGGGTTGGAACTAAACAGAGCTGCGGCCCTTTTGGAACTGAGTTTGACACCTGTGGGCTAGACAGTATAAACAGTGGGGGAAATAAGTATTGAACACGTCATATTTTTTTCCTAGGAATAATATTTTGGCCTCACAGCAAGAAGGTTGCTGGTTCGAGCCTTGGCTCATTTGGTGTTTCTGTGTGGAGTTTGCATGTTCTCCCTGCGTACGTGTGGGTTCCCTCCAGGCGCTCCGGTTTCCCCCACAGTCCAAAGACATGCGGTGCAGGTGAATTGGGTAGGCTAAATTGTCCGTAGTGTATGAGTGTGTGTGTGGATGTTTCCCAGAGATGGGTTGCGGCTGGAAGGGCATCCGCTGTGTAAAAACTTGCTGGATAAGTTGGCGGTTCATTCCCCTGTGGCAACCCCAGATTAATAAAGGGACTTACCCCCTAAAACAGGGGTGTCAAACTCAATTCCTGGAGGGCCGAAGCTCTGCACAGTTTAGTTCCAACCCTGCTCCAACACACCTGTAGGTTTCAAACAAGCCTGAAGGACTCGATTAGTTTGATCAGGTGTGTTTAATTAGGGTTGGAACTAAACTGTGCAGAGCTGCGGCCCTTTTGGAACTGAGTTTGACATCTGTGCTCTAAAAGGGTCAATTTCAGAGCGTTATAAGCATTATTTGTGTGCTGTTTTGAGCTGAAACTTCACACACACTTATCAGAGACTTATTTTACATCTTAGAGCATAATAGGTCTCCTTTAATCTTTCACTTTTCATCATTAATAAATAAATACAAATTTAACCCTGGCATACGTTTACTTTTAGGAAGGTTTCTACGCAACATTTTAAAAGAGACTGCAGGTGTCTCTGTTAATGCACCCATTAATGAAGCTCCATCGGTTACAGTCACACACACACACACATTAGCCATAATGGAGAGCTCAATCTGTTCTCACTGCGAGTGTTAAAAGCATCAGACGTGATCATCCTTTCTTCATGGTTTATGCTGATCGTGCCGCCGAGCACTAAATGTGTCTTTCATATTGTAATGATGGTGTGTACATGAAGATAAAGCTCCAAACGCAGCTTCATTCAGAGTGGCCAGGCAAGCAAGGGACTCAATCAACCCAGGCTCATTCTGAAAACGCACCTCTACATCAGGGGTCAACAATCTCGTTCCTGGAGGTCCGGTGCCCTGCAGGGTTTAGCTCCAACTTGCCTCAACTGCCTGGGTGTTTCAAGTATACCTAGTAAGAGCTTGATTGGCTTGTTCAGGTGTGTTTGATTAGGGTTGGAGCTAAAATCTGCAGGACACCGGCCCTCCAGGAACAAGTTTGGTGACCCCTGCTCTACATGGTGAAACCCAAAATGTTAAGGTAACTCAAACCGTTTGGGGAAACCGATTTCAATTATATTGTTTGCTTTTTTTTTTCAACAAAACTACCATAAGCTATCATTAATAACATTACTTGTTTATACCCTACAAAAACATAAGAAACTAAATCTTACCTATGAAATGTTCTGACTTTGTGCTTTGTTTTCTTTGTTTGCTCGTTACTACACCCGTAAGTGTAACGGAGGCCAGCTAGTAAAGTGCTGTGCAGGTAAACCTCACTCCTCTGATCTCTAAAGGTGCTCTAGCGACAGACTCTAGTGGCCATGGTCTTTAGCCTACTTGATAGAGCAACCGACTCCCATGCGGAAGGTCGCCGGTTCGATCCCAGCTTGACGCAAGTTGGGTGGTGTAGGACTGACGTGATAGGGGCGACATGGTGCTGCAGTAGGTAGTGCTGTCGCCTCACAGCAGGAAGGTCACTGGTTCGAGCCTCGGCTGGGTCAGTTGGCGTTTTTGTGTGGAGTTTGCACGTTCTCCTGTGTTCTTGTGGGTTTCCTTCGGGTGCTCCGATTTCTCCCTCAGTCCAAAGACGTGTGGTGAATTGTGTAAGCTAAATTGTCCGAAGTGTATGTTTGTGAATGAGAGTGTATGAGTATTTCATCCTGCTGTGGCGACCCCAGATTAATAAAGGGACTAAGCTGAAAAGAATCTGAATGAATGAAAGATCTCTACAGAGAACATGGGGGTGATTTGCACTTAAGGAAGCTCTCAAATGACACTCTTGGGCTTTAAAAGAGCTGGAGATCTGATTGAATATCAGCGTGCCATCTGTGAGGTCAGAGGTCTGTGCTCATCCGAACAACACACACACATGGTCACATGCACAGGAAGCTGCAGATCAGTGTAATCATCTTAACCTGTGACCTCACTTCCTGTGGAGAGAGCGACAGTAACCAGTGTCTGCGAGTCCAGCTAAAGCCAGGATCAACATGTTTTGAAAATACAGCAGAAATAATGGGAATAATGGGATTTTTGGGAGGGCTGTTCTAATCTCTTTTCCACACACATGAAAAAAAATAGTGTACTTAAAAGACTTTAAGCTATTAATGGTTGATTCTATAGTGTTTTTGTACTGAACTATGGTAAAGTACTTAAATTGATCTGTTGGGATCATTTTATAATTGTTATGGTATCATAATAACTATAGTAATATAAACACATCACCATACTTGCCAACCCTCCTGTATTTTCCCGTATTTCTCCCATATTTTCAGTCTTTCTCTGAAGGGTGGTAAATAAACATTAAAGAGCCGAGCCTCCATATACCCTACCCATACCGCCGAACCACCAGGGGCCGCCCCTTTCTCTTAAATGTGTGTTTGTTCTGTGCGTTCTCTTTGTTTAGCTATGAACACACTTTGAAATAAATATAGGATATACATA